TGGTCAGGCCGTATAAGAACGGAGGGGGCGGCGGCAGGACGGCTCACTCGGTACCGCTGTCTGGGGGCTGTAGTGACCGCGCCGCTCCTGCCGGGGGCTGCCCACGCCAAGGACCTGCCTCTGTGGTCTCCTCCCCCGCCTCCCAGGTGAGTGCAAGGCCCACTCCTCCAAAGGTGCGAGGATGCGGTGGTTCCAGAGAGCCGCGCACTCTGCCCTCGGGGGTCTGCCCCTGTCGAGCGGAGCTCAAGTTTTCACCGTGCCCGGTGGGAGCCCGGGGGGCGGAGGGGAGGTGCGGACAGGTGCCGGGCCCCGTGCTCCCTTCCCCTCCAGCTCCCGCGACGACACCTCCCCCTACGAAGCCCGCCCCCGAGGGCCCGGCGAATCGCTCCGAGGGGGAGCTACAACTTTCCAGAGACTTCGGCCGGGGCTGGCAAACTTCAGCGAGTTCCTGCTCTGCGCGTCCCGCAGGCTGCGCGCCGTCCGGGCGCGGGCCGGGCGGCCGAAGAGTGTGTGTTGGGGGCCTTCAGCTCCTCCCTGGGGTAGGACGGCGTCCGCACCACCCCTGCCTTGCTTGAGGTCTCTCGGGCTCGCCCCGGTGCTCCCGCGGGCGTGCACGCCGCGGCCCGCTGGACCGGCGCGAATTCGAATGCAGCGGTTTCTGAAGGCGCAGTTAGAGACTCCGCGGTCAGGGGCCGCATCCGGCTGAGGAGGGAGGGGCGCTTCCCAGGCTCGGTGCCAGGACCGGGGTTTTAAGGAGAGGGCGGAGATCCCTACCTTTTCCTGGACTCGCGCTAGACTGGGGTCTCCGTGGGCAGCAAAGTGATCCAAGCGAGTGACTCGTGCGCTGCTCTTCTCCCGGAAACTTCTCGGGAATACTGCGTCTGTGACCTGGGTCCTCCCCTTTTAGGAATGAAACTTGCTTAGCCTGTAGACTGAAAGCCGCGGCCGTCAGTTGACTTGGTTCGCGGGGCCGCGGGCGGCTTGGAGGCACAGCTGCCCCGGGAGGTGTCACAGTCCGGATCGCGAAGGTGGGAGGGAGTCGGAGGAGGGAGATGGACCTCGCGAGTACAGGTTGGTAGCCTGTACACCGAAATGCAGAACGCTTGCCTGCGGGAGAAAACAGCCCGGCGCTACCTCGAAGTGAGGGAAGACTTCCGGGGAAATGCCTGGCGAGTTTCTCTGGAAAACGCGAGTTGACCCATGCTCACTAGAACCGACTGCTAGGGCTGGATGCCGCGGAAGGGATCAGCTCACTCCCCTTGCCCTCTCTTTTTTATCTGGAGGAAGGCTTCTGCAAGGCAGACTAAATCCTTGTATTAAGCAGGGACCTGCTGCCTTTTTAAAGGTTTGTTTGTTGTGGAGTTACAACATGCAGCTGCACTTTTACAGTAAGCGTTTATAAAGACTGTGAAATCGTTTATATTGTGGCAGTTGGTATTCAGGACATTTGGTAGGTGAGTTGGGAACCAGAACCTACCCAGGAAATAAAGTTAAGATTATTAAATCCTCCTGAAGTAGACTCCTGGCGCGGCCCAGCTGCCCTGCAGGGGGGACGTGAGTGGCCATTGTTGGCTACACTAACCTTTCAGCGTGAGTAACTTGGCAAGGAAGTGAACCAGGCAGCAAGCCAGGCAGCCAGCCAGGCAGCCGTCAGGGTGGCAGGAGCTCTACCTACCAAGAATTGTGCTGTGTCTCAAGCCCCTGGAGGTGTTACGGGGGGAGTGAGACCTGCTCCGGGGACCCTGCCATGGAAGGGGCTGGAGCAGGGACTGGAGAATGCTGACTCTTCGTTTTCAGGGAAGCATCTGAGCTGGACCAGCAGGGGTTCTGCCCTTTGACATTTTTGTTTGTGAAGATGGGAAGCTTAGTGTCTCTGGAGTGAAGCGTTTACTTGAGATAACTGAAACCTTGTGTCTGAAGGCATACCCGTGTCTTCAGTTTAGTCTCACTAAGGCGTTTTTAGAAAGAAGGTTTTGGTATATTGTATGTAATTGTTCAGGTAGTTTTTAGAAAGAAGATTTTGGCGTATTGCATATAATTGTTCAGGTAAAAGATAAAAAATAATTTTTTTCTCTGCCAGGAGGCCTCTAAATTGTTACCCAACAAAGGTCCCTAATTTCATGTTAGCATGTGCCCACAGAGCAAACAGCTACACTCTGAGTTTCTTCCACAATACCTACCTTGTATCCAGAGATTGTTAGGGTGACACTGAAGGAAAGGATTTGGTTCTTGGCCTTTTTGTCAGAATGAAGGTGATTTGGTTGAGCACCCCTGGCACTCGCTACTTACTGGCCTCAGCTCTAGTTTGATTGCAAGTAGCCCCTGAAATCCCATCCTGTGTTGCAGAAGCTCTCCCCTACCCCTGTCGCATCTCCCAATATTTGCGCCCCACTGAGCACACATTCCCCAGCGTTCAAGGCCGGGCCAGATTGTGCACATTGTGCAAGGCCCATCAGAGAACAGAGGAGTCCTCACACTTCTGAGAGGCCAAGGAACTGCCCGGCAGTAAAGATAACTTAGAGTGGACTGCAGTGCTCTTGTTCTCCCAGGGCCAGAAACTGGGCACGTGTGATACAAAATTAGGAAAATGAGCAATTGGAAAAAATAAACATCAAGTGAGCAGTACCCTGTCTTCATTTTCATCTCTGATATGTTGTGTGCATGGGGTCAGTCATGAAAGAACTAAAGAATGACAAGCCAAGGGCTCTGATTGGGTAAGAGCTTTGTGTGTGTGTGTGTGTGTGTGTGTGTGTGTGTGTGTGTGTGTGTGTGTGTGTGTGTTACTGAGAAAACTTCATCTCGTGGTTGCCTGGGACTGATTTCCTGAGTTAAGTGTTGGGTTTCTCAGTCTCATACTGGACTCTGGGCTGTATCTGTTGTTTTGTTGTTATGGGTGGGGGACGGGGATTAAGGGGAAGCAGTGCAGAGTCAGAGGGGTTACTTGGTATAAAGCATTAGTCTGGTTAGATAAGGTCCATTGCCTTTTTTGTGCTGTCACTGAGGTAAACAAGGCAATATAGACAAATGCTTTCTGCCTTCTTGGTGTTTTGACTGTAGCATGTTCAGTACATTGGCATAAGCAGTATTGTGATGAAGCAGACATCTCTGTCTTCAAAGAGATGTTCATGTATTTTAAAGCCACTTGGGTACAGCGGTGGTGCTTATCTGTTGTGATGCTGCCAGGACTTCTGGTCTCACACTTTTTTATCCTTTCACTCCATGCATTCATAAGGAAGCTTATATTTGGAGTTTAAATGGTTTAGGGGAAGCATCTTTGTATAACCCAACTGTGTGAGGAAGCCTTACGAATTGTTTAAAATTAATAGATTTGTACAACTGGGCCCTATAGCCTGTTCTCGAACTGTTTCCAGAACTTCTTGAAACAATAGGACAAAACTAATGTGAAGAAATAATTGCTGATGTTAAGCAACTCTCAGGGTAGGGTGTTTTTTAGTCTCAGAGCCTTTTGGAGTCTCGGTCACCCAACTGCGTAAAGTGTTTATTTCTTGGATAACAGTGACTGAGTCCGTGAGTGGTTAAATGCTTCCTCGGCAGTGGTTTGTGCCAGGTGCCGAGGAGGCCAAGGGGATGGGATGTGGAAAGGCTTGTGGAGACGCTCTGGATGCAAGTGGAGCCGGGTCGGCCTCAGGACATCCTGGAGGCATGCGGGGTTTGCCAGCTGGTCGTAACTGCTGGCATGTGAGCCCAGGAAGGCAGGGGTCTGTGCTTAGGGCCTGGTGCCCAGAGCCGCCCGGGGCACAGGAGGTGCTCCTGATAATTGGCTCCAGGGCTTTGCTGGCCCTCGCCTGCCATTCCTCTAGGAGGGGGAAGTGCACATGAGGAGATGGCGGCCTAGTGGGCCCCGGGGGCTGGAGCCGGTTTTTGGATCAAAAGTGGGAAGCCCCAAAGGCTGGGTGGCTTCTGGGCCTTTTTTAAAACGGAGGCCTCTGGGGTGTAGGTTTGGAGCCAGAGGGGCAATGCGGACCCATTGGGCGACAGCTGGAAGTCCTCAGGGTGACCTCCAGACCCTCCCTCCCAGCTCATCCCACCCTGCCTTCCACCCCAGCACCAGCCTCACACAGCGCACTCAGCCTTTCTCTCTCCCCATTCACTCCTGCCAGTTCTGCTGAGTCTTCCTCTTTTTAGCGTTTTGTTTCCCATCGCCATCGCTGACCTGGTTTCAGGCTGCAGACAGCAGCTCATCGGAGCTGGATGCGGAGTGGAGCACCTCCCCTGCCCTGGCCAGTTCTCCATCCTGCCCCTCCAGCACACCTTAAGAGCTCAAGGACCTGCCCCCCTCGGAAGATGCACTCCTTTTGGGGACCTGAACCTTTCTGCCTTCTCTTCATTTTAGACCTCCCTTCCTAACTGCCCTCCCTCGCCTCCCAGATGCACAAATACTTGAACAAGTGAACACTTATCTCTCCTCACCAAACTGTGTTTCGATCCAGCTTTGAACCCTTCTCAAAGGCTTCTGATCTTATCCATCTGGGGACCCCCTTATCCTATACCTCTTCTCATCAGTACTGCTTTGCACTCCTGCCTTGTCCCTTATTTTCTAGTTTTTAAAAACATCTTGCGTTTGATGAGCACAGAAACATCCGTATCTGTCTCTATATTCACTTCCTGTAAACACATTCTGAGAAAAGTACCCATGAATCTTGAACTGCTCCCACCCTCTCGTGTTACCATAAGCTTCTCTCACCTTGTGCAGAGCTTACTGGGATGGGAGAAGGGGTAATCCTCCACCTCGCCTGGCTGCCTGCTCCTTACCCCCAAACACACCCGGTTTGTCCCTGTCCTGTGCCTGTGATGACTGAAGAAGTGTGGGCATTAGGACACTGCAGCTGGCCGGCTGTGCGCACACTCAGCCCGTCCCGGGAAGAGTGCTGGTCCCAGAGCAGAGATGAAGTGGGCACTCACTGAGCACCTGCTGTGTGTTCAGGTGCCAGCCTTCGGTTGTTGGGTGGGGCACCAACACTGCTTCTGTCTCCCATGCCCAGGCCCTTTGTGGTCTTGACACTTGTCTCCTCCCAACCTCTGAGGCTGCTTTAGTTGTCAGGACACCTGGGTTCTGGTCCTGGACGCACCTCTGCCTCTTCCATTTCTTCATGGTAATGACAACAATAGGCCAGTGCTGTCCAATAGAAATATGAGTCATAATTCAGTTTCTAGTATTCACATTGAAAAGTAAAAAATAAACAGGTGAAAATAATTTTATTTAACCCATATCAAATATTATAATTTTAACCTGTAATCAATAGAAAAACATTACTGAGTTATTTTACTTCTTCTCTACATATGGAGTCCTTAAAATCCAGTTTGCATCTTCCAGTCATCCATGGCACATCTCAGTCTGGACTTGCCCATTTCAAGGGCTCAACAACTTGTGGGAACAGTATGGGGTGGTGCTGGTCTAGCCCATCTGCAAAAATGTTTCACTCTCCAATCCTGATTCTCCTGGTGTGGGAGACCACAGTTAACACGGAAGTTTTGGACAGAGAGTGTGAACTAGGATCTAAGCTCTGCAGTAGTAGAGATCTTGTTCTCTGCTGTTGCAGAACTTGGTCTCTTGCTGGATGGTTCCTCAGCTCCTCAAAGGATGCTCGGAACATTGTAGACACTCAGGTATCTGAAAGAACGAAAAGAAGTTCAGTCACTGGGGCCAGCTTGCTGCTAATCATTCACCATGTGAGTCAGACCTGACACTACAACACAGGATGTTTGAGTCCTAGTCCAGCTCATTCTTTTGTTTTTCTGTAGTTCTTAGAGAATAATCATAAGGTAATAGGATTTCCAAGAACTGCAGATAAAATCTTCTGAGACTGGCAGGGGACCAGAACTCCAACAATT